CAGGTAGGGCTTTGACTGACAGGTAGGGCTTTGACTGACAGGTAGGGCTTTGACTGACAGGTAGGGCTTTGACGGACAGGTAGGGCTTTGACGGACAGGTAAGGCTTTGACGGACAGGTAGGGCTTTGACTGACAGGTAGGGCTTTGACTGACAGGTAGGGCTTTGACTGACAGGTAGGGCTTTGACTGACAGGTAGGGCTTTGACGGACAGGTAGGGCTTTGACTGACAGGTAGGGCTTTGACTGACAGGTCGGGCAGGACGGCACTGGGCCTGCTCGCTGTCCGGCTGGCAGGCTGATGACTGCCTGTTGACCTTGCAGACCAGTTTTTGTCGATCTTCACGCGGGAAAGTGGTGTAGCGGGTAGCCTGTCCGGCGGTGTTATAGCCGGCAGGCAGGCAGGCAGGCAGGCAGGCAGGCAGGCAGGCAGGCAGGCAGGCAGGCAGGACACGGCATCATGTGTGCCCTCCACAACACCACGACCCAACGCAGCGCCGAGGACAAGCAAGCACTGACAGTTGGAACACATTGATGCGAAGCATGACATCACTGTCACCTCTCGTGACCTGCCGCCGACAGCCGCCGTCACCTCTCGTGACCTGCCGCCGACAGCTGCCGTCACCTCTCGTGACCTGCCGCCGACAGCTGCCTATTTAGAGGGCCCCTTTTTAACCTAACCTCCCAACTGACAGCTGTGGCTGGCGTCCCAAACGTCGTGACCACTTCTCATTCCCTCAAGCAAATTTATCATCATTCCCCAGAAAGAAATCTTGACTGTTTTGGTATTAATCTGTGAACAATACCAAGATGGCCAGACTCTTTAAGTTTCAGATATGTTGATGATGCTGGAGCATACCTGGAGTACTACTCCCCTTGCCCGGCCCGAGGCCAGGCTTGACTTGTGAGAGTTTGGTCCACCAGGCTGTTGGTTGATACCTGGTTGATGGGGTTCTGGGAGTTGTTCTACTCCCCAAGCCCGGCCCGAGGCCAGGCTTGACTTGTGAGAGTTTGGTCCACCAGGCTGTTGGTTGATACCTGGTTGATGGGGTTCTGGGAGTTGTTCTACTCCCCAAGCCCGGCCCGAGGCCAGGCTTGACTTGTGAGAGTTTGGTCCACCAGGCTGTTGCTTGGAGCGGTCCGCAGACCCACATACCCACCACAGCCCGGTTGGTCCGGCACTTCTTGCAGGAACGTGTCTAATTTCCTTTTAAACACGTCCACTTTTCTACCATACATACATACATACATACATACATACATACATACATACATACATACATACATACATACATACATACATACATACATACACACACACACATACACGTGTAAATCACGAAAATTAACACGTGTTGAAAAATGACAGTGTCGGACCACGAAGGAAGAAATGAACAGTAATTTCCTTCAGTACTTTCGTATTTAATGATACAGTTTCAGAAGGGTGACCCTTCTGAAGATGCATTATTAAAATACGAAAGTACTTAAGGAAATTCCCGTTTCATTTCTTCCTTCGTGGTCCGACACTGCCATATACATATACACATATATACATACATAAATTTTGACCAGACCACACACTAGAAGGTGAAGGGACGACGATGTTTCGGTCCGTCCTGGACCATTCACAATCGACTTGAGAATGGTCCAGGACGGACCGAAACGTCGTCGTCCCTTCACCTTCTAGTGTGTGGTCTGGTCAACATACTTCAGCCACGTTATTGTGACTCCTCGCCTGCACATACATACATACATACATACATACATACATACATACATACATACATACATTAAATATATTCTTATCTTGAGTTGATTTCGGGGCTTTAGTGTCCCCGCGGCCCGATCCTTGACCAGGCCTCCACCCCCAGGAAGCAGCCCGTGACAGCTGACTAACACCCAGGTACCTATTTACTGCTAGGTAACAGGGGCATTCAGGGTGAAAGAAACTTTGCCCATTTATTTCTGCCTCGTGCGGGAATCGAACCCGCGCCACAGAATTACGAGTCCTGCGCGCTATCCACCAGGCTACGAGGCCCCCTTACCATTGAGTGATATTACCATTGAGTGATAAACATTTTTCTTACGTCTCACCAAAGGTCGAATTACTGACCCGCCCAAGATACAATCCCACACCTCCCTCACTGGTAGCTATTTACTGCTAGGTGAACAGAGGCATTAGATGAAAGGAATCGTGCCCATCCATATAAGTCCAAGCCGGAAACTGAACCCGGGACGCCAGGTTGTGAATCGAGAACAAATACAACTGTACCACGAGACCTTATTTAAAAGATATGGTACAAAAAAGATGGACTTGCGGAGGAGTGGGGGAGAAAGAGAGAAGCAGCAGCAGAGAGAAGAGCAGCAGCAGCAGAGAGAAGGGCAGCAGCAGCAGAGAGAGGAGCAGCAGCAGCAGCAGAGAGAGGATCAGCAGCAGCAGAGAGCAGCAGCAGCAGCAGCAGAGAGAGGAGCAGCAGCAGCAGCAGAGAGAGGATCAGCAGCAGCAGAGAGCAGCAGCAGCAGCAGAGAGAGGATCAGCAGCAGCAGAGAGCAGCACCAGCAGCAGCAGAGAGAAGAGCAGCAGCAGCAGCAGAGAGAGGATCAGCAGCAGCAGAGAGCAGCAGCAGCAGCAGAGAGAGGATCAGCAGCAGCAGAGAGCAGCAGCAGCAGCAGAGAGAAGAGCAGCAGCAGCAGCAGAGAGAAGAGCAGCAGCAGCAGAGAGCAGCAGCAGCAGCAGAGAGAGGATCAGCAGCAGCAGAGAGCAGCAGCAGCAGCAGAGAGAGGATCAGCAGCAGCAGAGGGCAGCAGCAGCAGCAGCAGAGAGAGGAGCAGCAGCAGACACAAAGGAAATACCTCAGAACGGCCACGACAGTCACGCTAATGGATCTTCAAGCTCAGACCTTCACCTCTTTCCACCACCATCTTTTCCCCCTCCCAATACCCTGTTTCTGACACCATGCACCTGCCAGGCCGTGAGGCAGGCAGGCAGGCGGGCCAGGCCCCTCTCCATCCCCAGGCAACATGCGGGGCAGGTCAAGTCGCAGATGAACCCAAACTGCCTTTAGGGGGCCAAAGCTTCGATGATATCGGCGCTGCCAGCTGGCGAAGGTTGACAGGCTTGTCACGGATTAACTGGCTAGAACACGAGGAATGGGGGGGGGGGGGGTCAGTGGGGGTGATGGGGGTCAGTAGGGGTCAGTGGGGGTCATGGGGGTCACGCTGAAGACAAACGAGGCATGGTTCGCGGCTTGCGTCATCATTCCCGGGTTGATATCTGCCAAACACAGCTTGTTTTCACATGGCCACATTTTTCGACAGGAAAATGAGGCCATGAGATGAAATATACTCGCCTAGTTGTGCTCACCTAAGCTAAGCTTGCAGGGTCAAGCATCTGCTCATAAGTCCCCGCCCTGTTACCTAGCAGTAAAATAGGTACCTGGGTGTTAGTCAGCTGTCACGGGCTGCTTCCTAGGGGGTGGAGGCCTGGCCGAGGACCGGGCCGCGGGGACACTAAAAAGCCCCGAAATCATCTCAAGATAACCTCAAGATAACCGCCTTTCGTCGCCCATCAATGCAGTGACTATTCACTCGATTTTCGTATAATTTAGATTTAAAAGTTATATATAATTGGCTTCGACAACTTGCATATTATTTACGACTACGGCTGAAAAAGTTATTTCTGACATGCCAGTAACTCATGTGCCTTTCCCTGTATGAAATGTCCTGTTTCTCTACAACTCTCCTTCGGACGGTAGAGCGACGATCTCGCTTCATGCAGGTCGGCGTTCAATCCCCGACCGTCCACAAGTGGTTGGGTACCATTCCCTACCCTCCGTCCCATCCCAAATCCTTATCCTGACCCCTGCCCAGTGCTATATAGTTGTAATGGCTTGGCACTTTCCCCCCTGATAGTTCCTTCTATAACTCTCCTAGTTTCTCCTAGCCTCATTTCTAACCTCTTTCTATACATTGTGATATCCTTCTATTCTGTGTTATCTATATTTCTCCCATATTCTTATGTTTCATCTCTGTGCTTCCAGACACTGTGCCTCTTGAACTATGGATAGTACTCTTCTCTATTTCTTTAATCCCTCTTTGCGCTATGTATCTTTCTTTAGCTTCAATATAATACGCTCCATAGAGCTTATTATTTTTTTTCTATATGTACCTGTACATATATTTTCTATATGTACCTAACAGTAAAATAGGTACCTGGGTGTTAGTCAGCTGTCACGGGCTGCTTCCTGGGGGTGGAGACCTGGTCAAGGACCGGGCCGCGGGGACACTAAAGCCCCGAAATCATCAAGATAACCTGAAGTTAACCTCACTTCAGACACTGAGGGAAACACGCGCGCGCGTGTGTGTGTGTGTGTGTGTGTGTGTGTGTGTGTGTGTGTGTGTGTGTGTGTGTGTGTGTGTGTGTGTGTGTGTGTGTGTAATTACCTAAGTGTAATTACCTAAGTGTAGTTACAGGATGAGAGCTACGCTCGTGGTGTCCCGTCTTCCCAGCACTCTTTGTCATATAACGCTTTGAAACTACTGACGGTCTTGGCCTCCACCACCTTCTCACCTAACTTGTTCCAACCGTCTACCACTCTGTTTGCGAAAGAAAACTATCAAGTCCAGTCTGGTTGACCAGATCGGAGACCGGGCCGCGATAGCCATTGATCCCCGGAAGCTACCCAAAAAATAGCCAATGTACTTTTCCTTCCACCTGGTACCCCTGTTTACTTAGCAACACTTGGGACCCAAGTTAGGCAACTACTGTGGAAACAGTACGCAACATAAAAACCATTGGTAGGCCTAGGTTTTTATCAAGCCTAATAGGTTGCCAATGACAACCAATATCTATTAAAGATTAGAGCGGCCTACCCGGAGACCCAGCCCGGGCATACCTTGAGGTGCTTCCGGGGCTTAGCGTCCCCGCGGCCCGGTCGTCGACCAGGCATAACACAAAACTCTCACAATGTATTGAATACATTCCTTTCTGTTGTCCATTTCAGGTGGTGTTATCAGTGGTGGTGGTGGCGGTGGCGGGCCAGTTCACTCAGGTGAGTGGAGGGGGGCGTGGGGGGGGGGAGGAGTGGGGGGTGAGTGGGGGGGGGGCGTGAGAGGGTTGGGAGTACACAGAAACGGGAAGAATAGAGAGGGTAAAGTGGGATGGGGGGGAGGGGTTAAAGGTCAGGAGGACGAAGACTAAGAAGAACAAAGATAATTAAGAAAGTAGGGGAGAGAGAGAGAGAGAGAGAGAGAGAGAGAGAGAGAGAGAGAGAGAGAGAGAGAGAGAGAGAGAGAGAGAGTGAGTGTGTGAGTGTGTGAGTGTGTGAGTGTGTGTGAGTGTGTGAGAGAGAGTGTGAGTGTCGCATTTGCTCACCCATCCACTAACTGATCAACCCATCCAATTACTCGCCTACCGATATATTCACCCACACACTCATTCACCCCATCAACCCTCATCTATCCATTCTATCTACCCATCTCCCGCCTACCAACTCTCTCATCCACCCATCCCAAACACACACAGCCTCATCCAATCATTCTTCAACTCATCCAACTCCCTCCATCCACAGGGCAGGAGAACATTGAACTCCGCGCGGCGCTTCCCGCCCGCCGGCGGCAGCCCGCCCTTCGTCCGCTTCGACGACGACTTCGACGACTTCGATGACGACGCCGACTTCTTCGACAACGACCGCGACGACTCGCTGGAGGATCTCTACGACGACCTGTACGACGACGACGCCAGGGACCGGGCCCAAGCCAGGGCCGCCCTGACCCGACTCAGGGCGTCGGGGGCCATCACCGGCAACACTTTCCGAAACAACAGATTCGTCGGCAACAGGTAAACAGGAGAGGCCTCGCCAATGGGCGATGAGAGACGCTGTAAAGCAACAGATGAAACGAAAAATACCAAACAGGAGATAAACATAAGAGGCTTCAGGAACAGGTAACGGCGAATAGGAGGCTTCAGGAACAGGTAACGGCGAATAGGAGGCTTTAGGAACAGGTAACGGCGAATAGGAGGCTCCAGGAACATGGTAACAGCAAACAGAAGGCTTCAGGAACAGGTAACAGCAAACAGAAGGCTTCAGGAACAGGTAACTACAACCAGGAGGCTTCAGGAACAGGTAACTACAACCAGGAGGCTTCAGGAACAGGTAACGACGAACAGGAAGCTTCAGGAACAGTTAACGACGAACAGGAAGCATCAGTAACAGGTAACGACAACTCTTAAAACAACAAGCCTAGGTAAAAACGACAACATCTAGTTTCATAACTGCAGGTTAACTCTCAAGGCTTCAAAACAACAGTTAACAAGTTAACACGACACACACACTTGCAGGAAGAAATAAAAGAAGGTCATTAAAAACAAAAACGCACCAAAGCTTAGGAATAACAATAAAAACTTTCACCAAGGAACAGGAGGGGATTCAGCTGTGCAAGGGCCAGATTCACGAAGCAGTTACGCAAGCACTTACGAACCAGTACATCTTTTCTCAATCTTTGGCGGCTTTGTTTACAATTATTAAACAGTTAATGAGCTCCGAAGCACCAGGAGGCTGTTTATAACAATAACAACAGTTGAATGGCAAGTTTTCATGCTTGTAAACTGTTTAATAAATGTAACCAAAGCCGTCAAAGGTTGAGGAAAGATGTACATGTTCGTAAGTGCTTGCGTAACTGCTTCGTGAATCTGACCCCGTCTCCTCTGCACCCCCACCTGTATCTTACCACCTTGAGGTTATCTTGAGATGATTTCGGGGCTTTTTAGTGTCCCCGCGGCCCGGTCCTCGACCAGGCCTCCACCCCCAGGAAGCAGCCCGTGACAGCTGACTAACACCCAGGTACCTATTTTACTGCTAGGTAACAGGGGCGTAGGGTGAAAGAAACTCTACCCATTGTTTCTAGCCGGCGCCCGGGATCGAACCCGGGACCACAGGATCACAAGTCCAGTGTGCTGGACTGTCCAGCGTGCTGTCCGCTCGGCCGACCGGCTCCCTTGAGTGTCTGAGAAGCAGCTTCACAACACTACAACAGGTTCAGGTGTACAGGCTCAGGAACCTGTACACCAGTTGATTGACGGTTGGGAGCCGGGACCAAAGAGCCAGAGCTCAACCCTCGCAAGTACAATTAGGTGAGTACAAGCCTTGCTGAACAAAGTATGTGCAGAACAAACTGCTTCTTACAGGGTTGCTTCTTGCTCCAAGTAACAGCCTGTTGGACCAAGTATAAACAGTCTCCGTGGTGTAGTGGTAAGACACTCGCCTGGCGTTCCGCGAGCGCTTTGTCATGGGTTCGTATCCTGGCCGGGGAGGATTTACTGGGCGCAAATCCTTAACTGTAGCCTCTGTTTAACTCAACAGTAAAATGTGTACTTGGTTGTAACAACGATTCTTCGCGGCGGGGATCGTATTCCAGGGACCTGCCCGAAACGCTACGCGTACTAGTGGCTCTACAACCATGTAACAACTCTTCTATATATCTTAAAAAAAAAAAAAAAAAAAAAGTTATCACAAGTCGAGCCTGGCCTCAGGCCGGGTTCGGGGAGTAGAAGAACTCCCAGAACCCTCTCCAGGTATGCGTTCTCTTGTAACATGACGTAATTATTTGTCCAATATATATTTTCTTCGCAAACATTTATGTGGAAGAAAAATCAATCTAATATGTACCAGGTAAACAAACTATATATATTAAAGATTAAATTTGATTAAATTCGACAAACATTAATTATTTAGCACAATTTTGGTATTTAAAATCCGTAATCATCAATGCTCAGTGATGAGGATCTCACCTTGAGTCGTTATTCATCTATTCGATGTGAAATTACACTAATGTTATGCATCTGAGAAAATATTGAGGCCATATAATGGGGTCGAGACCGCATCCTTGGAGTTCAAGGGCGCAGGTTCGATCCCATTATATGCCCTTAATATTTTCTATTTTATTCACTTTTAAGTATACCAGCTTACACAAGCTAAGCATGGGAAGTATAGTCTTGTGTTGACGCTACACTGACGTGTAATAGACAGCTGCTCGGGTAATCTCACCCTTATGACACTCTTCCGTTCTTTGCAGAAACAACGCCTTCAGATCAACTGGCTTCACCAACACAGGCTTCGTCAACAGGTTCCCTAACACCAGAACCACATCCTTCAACACCAACACCGCCAGGCCTAACAACCTTGGCTTCAGGAGCTCCTTCAGGCCAACACCGACGACGCCATCACCCGCCTTCTTCGGCGGCACTAGCAACAGTGCCAACCGTTTCGGGGGACCTAGAAACAACTTCAACTCTCTCGACCAACCTTTCTCCAACAGCATTCAGACTAGCAGTCCCTTCACCAACAAGATCACCAGCGCCCCTGCCAAGTTTTCCGGCAGCTCCGCCAACACCTTCAAGACGTCCTCGAGCTCGCCCTTCAAGACCTTGCCCTCGGGATTCAACTGGCCAGGAGGAAATGGCTACTTTTTCAGCATGAGCACCCTCGGAGCCGACCCCGTCACCTACTTCATCAGCTACGATGATTAGTACACCACCTGCATCTCTTCCCAAGGCAAACGCAACAAGTCATTTACCACAGTACTCTACAAGGATCCTTTCCGAAGACACAAGCCGTACCGGACACTACAGTAGGCTACGGTAAACCAGTCATTACTTCATCAGCTACGATGATTAGTACACCACCTGCATCTCTTCCCAAGGCAAACGCAACAAGTCATTTACCACAGTACTCTACAAGGATCCTTTCCGAAGACACAAGCCGTACCGGACACTACAGTAGGCTACGGTAAACCAGTCATTACTTCATCAGCTACGATGATTAGTACACCACCTGCATCTCTTCCCAAGGCAAACGCAACAAGTCATTTACCACAGTACTCTACAAGGATCCTTTCCGAAGGCACAAGCCGTACCGGACACTATAGTAGGCTACGGTGAACCGGTCATCACAATACGCTACAGTGAACGGTTTCAAGCACCATGAAAGTCACCTATCACAGTCCTGGATCCAGCTCAACTTTCCTGGTCCAACACTAATACAAGAACAAGCCCTAAACATGTACCCCGGATCCTGTGATAATGACTGTATTATTCCAACCGCTAACGGGAGTACTGCAGGGTGGCAACGAGGCTCCTCTAGGGTTCTTTGCAACTTGTATAGCTCTACCATTTGGTAATTATAGATTGGATAGTAATATGTGGTAATAATAAGTTCCTAATTTATAGTTCGTGGCTAAGCACGAAATTTCAGTATAATCTCGTTTATCTTGAAATGTGATATTATGCTGCAAATGCTTATGGAACAATGATGAATGTTTCATTATACATCCATATATAATATATAAAAAGCCATAAGAGCAGGAAAACATTCATTTAGCAAAAGGCTACAGGCCAATTCTTTCTACACTGTAAATTAATAAAACTGTAAATTGTGATATTTTAAATAATATTGTATCCTAACATTGCACAAAATATTTAACATTAAATATTTAAAGTTAAAGCGATCTTGAACACGAGAAGCACTTCGTCACGAGGAAACGAAGAGAGAGACTTCTCAATACAGCAGGAACCTTCAAGTTCAAGTTTATTGAGACAAAAGAAAAAAAGTACATCTCAAAGGGATAGAGTAGCTTAGGCTATTTCTACCCCCTATAGTAGGCATCCATCAGTCTCAGGAGACTATGGAGTTGCGCTCTGGTTGTTGGTCTGGAGTGGCCTTACCAGGGCGCAAAGCCTGGGTAGGTTGATTCGGGGGAGAAGCTGTTACCCATGCAGCAGGTCCCCCCTCTCCACGGCGCTGGAGAGGGGGGACCTGCTGCCCCCCCCCCCCCCAGGGCTTCAAATACCAACATGTCTGAGAATGGAAGCTGTGTTGTAGTGGACGATGTGTCCTTTTGGGTGGCTTAATCCTCATCCATCAATCAACCCCTCCGCCCACCACCATGTTGTTGTTATTACAGATTTAGCCACTCAGGACGAAGTGTCCATGTAGCACGGGCTATGGCGAGCCCTCCGCCCACCACCACTCTGATGAACGTTTTATAGTTGTATGCGATGGCCGATGTATGCGTCTGGCCGAAACGCTGCGCGTACTAGTGGCTTTACAAGATTGTAAATATTATGCTATGTATCCTCACAAACCCAATGTACCTTCTTGTATATAAATAATTAAATGGCCATTAGGGCCCAAGGCGGTTCCGACCCGTCTTCCGGACACAAACGGGGCTTGAGAGCTGAAGACTGACACAACCCAGGGTCGAGTACACTTCCTGACACCCAATGGTCTGTTCACCAAGCGTTTCTCGCGCCGGCGAGAAACAATGGGCAGAGTTTCTTTCACCCTATGCCCCTGTTACCTAGCAGTAAAATAGGTACCTGGGTGTTAGTCAGCTGTCATGGGCTGCTTCCTGGGGGTGGAGGCCTGGTCGAGGACCGGGCCGCGGGGACACTAAAACCCCGAAATCATCTCAAGATAACCTCAAGGTGGGGGGGGGGGGTAGAAATAGCCTAAGCTACTCTATCCCTTTGAGATGTATTTATTGCTTATCTCAATAAACATACTTGAACTTGAACTTGAACATCAAGGTGGCTTAAGACGTTCAGCTTTGCCTCAAGTCTAAGCTTGGGCTAATCTCTAATTTCCCTTTTAGGGCGAAAAGTGAGGGATTAACAAGTTGAAACGAATACTCTCCCACGATGCAGGAAAGTGCCGTTGTAATCTTATCACTAATTGTGAATCTTATACAATCTGAGTTCAGTTGTAGTTTTAGTAATGAATAATGAATATGAACAATGTGGACCTTGAATATAGGTCTGGAGAGCTTTTGTGCAAGGGTTAGGAGCTAGCCTCGGTAGTTGTACACCAATTAAAGTATTAATTTCAGTAACACGATCAATGACGCTTATAATATTATTTTCTCATAATAAGTATCTTTGTGATACAAGGGGGGGGGTAAGATTATAAGGAACACGCAAATAATTCATTGTGTCGGTGAATGAATTATGAATAATTCGCTGGCTTCCTGTTCCTGTGGAACAGGAAGCCAGAGTGTATTCATAAACGCTAGGCTTTTATCGAGTCAAATTTTCGTGTCAACCATCCTCTACTATCCTGGTTTCCAAACTGTGGACCATTGCCTCCAGGACAATGGTAATACGTAATATAATGCTATTCAACTTTTTGCAAAATGTAGAGGGTCATAAGTTAAGGCAGTGACCGGGTTATCATATCAGAGGCTACCAGGGTGGCTGCCTGCGTGCCTAAATGACTGCGAGCAGGGTGTTGGTATGCATCAAGATATTTCTTATAAGGGTACATTGGGACCGACCCCGACTAGCCTATGATACTCACAACCCTTCCCTCTCCAAGTGCCGGTTTTGAAAGTTGGGCCAGGCTAGTCCAAAGCCACTATTCTACTATGGGTTACTACCACAGCCTAGTCTACTACCGACCATAGTCTACTATGGACGGACAAACGAAGCGGCATTTTAATTTTATTTAGTCATTCTCTCGTCTGCCCCGTGCTAAAAATCGTTCCTAAGACTAGTGGGGAGTGTGTGTACCTTCACCAGACAGCAAAGAACTGGTCCAACGCTATGAACGCGGCCGCACGAATCGGCCCAAACACGGCATCAACACGCCATCAACGCGGCCACATGCATCGGCCCCAACGCGGCCGCACGAATCGGCCCCAACGCAACCGCACGAATCGGCCCAAACACGGCATCAACACGGCCGCACGAATCGGCCCCAACGCGACCGCACGAATCGGCCCAAACACGGCATCAACACGGCCGCACGAATCGGCCCCAACGCGACCGCACGAATCGGCCCCAACGCGACCGCACGAATCGGCCCAAACACGGCATCAACATAGCATCAACACGGCCGCACGAATCGGCCCAAATACGGCATCAACGCGGCCGCACGCACCCCCATCCGTACAGCAACTTATCCCTCCTTAGTTTCGACGACAATGCTATTGATATTACAACGATGATTTACAACAATGTTTAAAATCCAACCTAGCCTGTGCCTCCTTTCCACCAAGTCAAAAATAAAATAATTTTTTTTCCACAATCACCAGGAAAGATAGATCATGGCCAAAATTGAGAGAGGAAAAAAAAATAACATTTTACACAGAGTATATTATTGAAGAATGCAGTCTCTAGCTGTACAAAATAACACTTGTTCTTGCATGTGAAACCCGGTTTTGTGCCTGCCAATTGTGACGAGGCTACGGCTCTCTCGTTACTGTAATATTCCCCCCTGGTGGTGTAAATCTAGCACAGGAGACACGAATATTAACTTTCCTGTCTCCAGTGGTTGATAATTATGTATGATAAGTTGACCCCGTACAAGTAAACCCGCTTGATAATTATATTATCATACGGGTTTAAAGTTTCAACTAAATTAATCTGTTATTTCTGTGCCGGACACAACACAAACATGGTATATATTATTTTGTCATCCACATTCAAGTTCAAGTATGTTTATTGAGATAAGCAATAAATACATCTCAAAGGGATAGAGTAGCTTAGGCTATTTCATAAGAACATAAGAACAAAGGTAACTGCAGAAGGCCTATTGGCCCATACGAGGCAGCTCCTATTCTATAACCACCCAATCCCACTCATATACTTGTCCAACCCGCGCTTGAAACAATCGAGGGACACCACCTCCACTACGTTACGCGGCAATTGGTTCCACAAATCAACAGCCCTGTAACTGAACCAGTATTTACCCAAGTCTTTCCTAAATCTAAACTTATTTCTACCCCCCCTTCATCCACATTTCCGTGGAAATAAACATACCATTCACCTGGACTCTAGAAGACTAGAACCGTGGACCCGAATGGTATATTATTATTAAAATGATTATATATATTATATAAACATGTGTGTAAATCACGAAAATTAACACGTGATGAAAAATGTGACAGTGTCAGACCACGGAAGAAGAATTGAAACAGGAATATCCTTAAGTACTTTCGTATATTAATACGAAAGTACTTAATCTTCACCAGTTGTATTGGACTGGTGAAGATTAAGCCACCCAAGAGGTGGCACGGGCATGAGTAACCCGCAATGCATTTTATTAATGGTTTAGACATTATGCACGCCATACCCATCCCGTGCAGGCGGCGATGGAAAAGGTTACAGAAGCAAATAATTGGTTCAAAGGCTTTAACAAGCCTAGCCTGAGGGCGGGGCTGTACAAACGGCTATCTTGAGGTTATCTTGAGTTGATTTCGGGGCTTTAGTGTCCCCGCGGCCCGGTCCTCGACCAGGCCTCCACCCCCAGGAAGCAGCCCGTGACAGCTGACTAACACCAGGTACCTATTTTACTACTAGGTAACAGGGGCATAGGGTGAAAGAAACTCTGCCCATTGTTTCTCGCCGGCGCCTGGGATCGAACCCAGAACCACAGGATCACAAATCCAGTGTGCTGTCCGCTCGGCCGACCAGCTCCCTTCCACTAATGTTTGTCAGTGGGAACAACAAATTAACATTAATTCAAGGTAAAATACAGTTTATGTGACTGCAACCGCTGAAAAATACAGAAATGTCGACAAAACTGCAAGGAGTAGCCTATGATCGAGTGCTTTATAGAAGCCAAGGTTTGAAGCTGTGCAGTGTATAGTTTATATATTAGCAAACATTGTGGAAATTGTGGTGTTTTCTTAAACCGAAACTAAATTACAATATAAAACCAAGTCCCTTCAGAGGACATTATTATGATAAAGACAAACTAGAAACTCCCGTCGCAAACTTTAATCACGGCGGTACCAAATAATATTCCAATCATTATTTTTTTTCTACTTAAAGGTTTACGGCAAACTAAATAAACACCTTGGAATTTTTTTGGGATAAGTGCCTGCCAATTGTGACGAGGCTACGGCTCTCTCGTTACTGTAATATCCCCCCTGTGGTGTATAATCAAGCACAGGAGGCACGAATGTTAACTTTCCTGTCTCCAGTGGTTAATAATTATTTATGATAAGTTGACCCCGTACAAGTAAACCCGCATGATAATTATTATCATACGGGTTTAAAGTTTCAACTAAATTCCGCCAGATAAAAAATAAACTAGAATTATATAGAGTAAACAAACAATACTCGGCAGGTTGTCTAATTCCTCATCCTGGAACACGGCGACTTGTAAACGGGTAATACTGGAATGTTATCCAAGACCTCAACCTGGAACACAGCGACCTGTAAACAGGTAATACTGGAATGTTATCCAACACCTCAACCTGGAACACAGCGACCTGTAAACAGGTAATACTGGAATGTTATCCAACACCTCAACCTGGAACACAGCGACCTGTAAACAGGTAATACTGGAATGTTATCCAACACCTCAACTTAGAACAATGCTACCTGTAAACGGGTAATACTGGAATGTTATCCAAGACCTCAACCTGTAAACAGG